TAATTGATTTCGGCAGATACTTAAGTGCAGTTGCTTTATCTTGTGTAATAATATTACTGTGTGTTTTATACTCAAGTAGAATCGTATTTACATGGCATCTGAGCATTGAGCAATGGTGTTTGGTTGTACTTGAAAACCAATGTCAAAAATACTATATTGGTTTGAGGGTAGGAATATTAAACAAATACAGGATGACCATGAGGTGGATATATCAGACTATTCGAGGAAAAAAATCGAGGATGGGTATTCTGGCATATCCACCTCATGGTCATCTAGTCAGTATTTATTTTATTATGCACCTCCTTTGAGAAACACTTTATTTTAAAGAAAGGGTCTACTAAAACAGAAGACAAGCCTATACTCCATAAGACCTTCCTGTCCGACAGTCAAAAAATCAATTTTTAGAAAAAGTTTAATGCCTCAATTGAATTATTTGGTCTACTTACTCACAGGGGCGGATCCAGGATTTTGTGTTTGGGGGGGGGGGGCGTGTGATAATAACTGTGAGCGATGAGTCAAATTTTGTAAAAAGCAATGAGGCAAAACACGAATTTTCTGACTTTTTAGGGGGGCATGCGCCCCCCACGCCCCCGTCTACATCCGCTGGTGACTAATATGTACTTACCTTATATTTTGAAGTCAAATGTGCGTCCATTCCATAGTCAGTAATAGACAAATCTAGTGATACTCGAATTGGATCCAAATGCTGTAAGAAACTCAGTCATTTTCTTCAGAAAATCTTCTCTTGCCCTCTGTCTGAATGACGTCAGAGTTCATAGAGGTTCAAACTCTTGACAAAATTCATGGAATCTCCTCCCATTTCGGGGAAACCATTCTGTTCTAAATGATGTCATTTTCTTAGAATCTCTTCCATGTTGAAATTTAAGACAAATGCAAGGGAGAAATGATTTGAGTGATATGAGAAAAGGGGATTTTTATTCAATGGGTTGTGATGAACTGACAAAAGGTAGGTGGCGCTAGATAAGGCATCGGCTAAACTTATTATATATGGAGGGAAAACTTAAGAATAAAGCCAAATGAGAGAATAAATGGACTTTTTGATCGTCAGACACCAAGGTTTTTAGTATTTTTTTCGAGGATAGGTATTCTGGCATTTGGGATAGTTGGAGATCTCGTTGCTTCAATACTGGATAGAACGAGATCTTGCAGCCACGTATGGCAATAGACCCTGCAGCTCTTAACCAATCAGATTTGAGTATTTTAATGAGGTGCATAATAAAAGAATATATATAGTCCTGCATTTAGTCTCTCGACCATGGGCCTTTTCTCCACTCCCCTGTCATAGATATATAAGGTTTGTAAGCGTACATATATGGGGAGCTAGTTGCTTATCATACCAAATGAGTTAGTGAAATATATGTACAAAAGCTGAACTTTCTCATTAAACTACCAATAAGTAAATCAGTTATTTGTATATATGCAAGTGTGTGGAGGGGAGTGGTATCATTGAATTATTTGTGTTCATAAATGAGAATATACTAGTAAAGAGTAAAACCTGTCTTAGTGAACACCTCTCTCTCTCATGAACACATGTCTCTAGTGGACGCTGTTCCTCCGCACATACTCTACTGACTTCGGTATAAATTACCCTCTCTGTAGTGAACACCTACCAAGACTGAATGTTTTTCTTGCCAAAAAATGTTCAATACACACAGGTTTTACTCTGTTAGCATTCTACAATATACACTTATTCATTGACTAATTAAATAGTTTTGATGATAGTTTTATCTTGATTTATGATATCCCATCATGTTGATCAATAGGAACTTCAAGTGTCCATAATCCCACTCTTGAAATATATGCACCTTTCCTGTATCTAAATAAATATACATGATGTACTTCCTATTTCTGTATATTGACCATTCATAGATGGTAAAACTGTCAAGTCATTGTGAAGATGAAGACTTCAATCTCTTGACCCATTGACTTAATTTTTAATGAACCTGTGTAAGTGGAACACCTCAATTCACCTTTTTCTTCACATACTGCCTTCCCTCAGTCCAAGATGGTCTGAGTATCAGAATGGTGTCAAGTAGAACACCTCTTATGTTGAACACTTCAATCTCTTGACCCATTGACTTAATGTTAAATGAACCTGTGTAAGTAGAACACCTCACTTCATTTTCTTCACATACTGCCTTCCCTCAGTCCAAGATGGTATGGTGTCAAGTAGAACACCTCTTAGGTTGAACACTTCAATCTCTTGACCCATTGACTTAATGTTAAATGAACCTGTGTAAGTGGAAAACCTCACTTCATTTTCTTCACATACTGCCTTCCTTCAGTCCAAGATGGTCTGAGTATCAGAATGGTGTCAAGTAGAACACCTCTTAGGTTGAACACTTCAATCTCTTGACCCATTGACTTAATGTTAAATGAACCTGTGTAAGTGGAACACCTCACTTCATTTTCTTCACATACTGCCTTCCCTCAGTCCAAGATGGTCTGAGTATCAGAATGGTGTCAAGTAGAACACCTCCTAAGTTGAACACTTCATTCCCTGACCTATCAGGGGTTTCACTAGAATTTCTCACAACAGGCTAAATAAATGAAAACAACAGGCAAAATTAATGGAAATCATAAATTTAACATTGAAAAGTCCCTTTAAACAACAGGCAATTTTGTGAAAACAACTGGTGAAAATCGCCTGTTGCCTGCTGCTTATGAAACCCCTGCCTATTGACTAAATGTTCAATGAATATGTGTAAGTAGAACATCATTCACTATCATTCATGCAGGCCACCAGTTTTCCTTGAGTCTATCTATATATACAGTTAAACCTGTCTCATCCGAATACAGCTGGTACCTGCCAAAAGTGTTCATATTAACAGATGTTCACATTTTTAACATAAAAGTCTCTGGCAAATTAAACAAAGAAGCCTTCACATTGGGCTATGTTAAAATTAGAGAGGTGTTTGGATATAGAGATTCAACTGTAATATTTGTCTCTAACTGGTCTCATTTAATCCCAGTATTACCTGGAATTAATTCACCTTTTGAAGACACCACGCCGAAGTCATTTCTATTATAGCTTTTAACTCATGATTGAAGAATGCTTATAATTTTAATGATGCTAGAATTGGTGGGTAGTATTTTTAGTGTAATATTGTTTACTGAGTGCCTTGTTTCTTAAAGTGTCTTATTTTCCATAAATCATTCTTCAATATGATTTATGTATAAGTTAAGGATAAAGATATCATACTAAAAGTTGTTTTAGCATATTTGGATTATCCTAAGGCTTATATATGTATATCCTGCCCTTGGGTGGATTAATATTTCCCTTGGAATAATCCCATATTCTGAATCTTATACATGTTGGTAATTTCTATACATCCTCATCGGTACAATATGTACTCACTATACAGAAGACCTATTTCCAGTATATCATTGTGATTCTATAGCTTGATATTAATGACTTTTGCTATGGTAGCTTCAGTTTCATAGAGTCAATGCCCTTTAATATAACAACTGACATTTGAAGAGGCAGAACTTCATATTATAAACCTTTATTAACAATGCAATTATTTGAAAGTGTCACCATAAATGGACTTCGGCATGAGCCCACTTTTTCCTCAAAAACAATTATCATCTCAATTTCATAAAACTGATTTTTCAGAGATCAGGTTGTCTTTTTTCCTGAAATAAGCGGCCACTATTTGTTTTGTGGTTATCAGTAATATCTAGTTATCTCAAATTGCGTCAAGTCATAGAATTAATATACATGATTGGCGAATTTTTCATTCATTTGATGATGTCATTTGACAATGTTTTTGCTATTATGCCATGTGATAATGAATTAACCAATCAGAAACGTTGTAACATAATAATTTAAACATCATCTCTTTGATGCATATACATACTGGATCTATCTTGCCACTGTACACAGCCTATAGACATTTCTAACCCCATTGTTAAATTGATTTTAAGACAATTAGCTAATGGGCTGTTTTCATTTATCTATGTACTAGACTGTTCAAAGTGTTACTCTGGGAGTCTAGCTACCTCCTTGCTCTCTGAATTGTAGCAGTAGAAATCAGCACTTCTTGTAGACTTCATTCAAGGAATGCCTTTATCTATATCTCACCAGATAGCAGACCTTCCTAAGTATCTCACCAAGCACATCTCTCAAAGGCAAACTTACATTATGTAGGTATCATACTCTATATGATAATATCAGTCTTTCAGGGAATTCAAGTTTCAAGATAAGCATTTATAAAGGTGGTATTCTTTCACTCCACAATATTACATCATGGTTCTGTTTGAACTGTTTAAACATGAGTGATAGAGCAAAACTTTATTTTAGGAGAAATCCACATGTTTCAATGTTGTACATGAATATCTAAAAATGTACTTGTTTGAATTAAATGAATTAGTCTTAAATCTGTCACATATGTTAACTGTTAAATCTAAATCTGTTTTTATGGTCTCACTTTTGATGTGATACCAAAGATGCGTTTTGAGATGGTAAGAGAACACACTTGTTAGTCAATTGAAAATATTGCTTTAATAATTCACAGCCTCCAACTAATGATAGATGCTACCTTTAATATTCCTGTCTAGTTAATCCATCAAACGTCCACATAGCCTGGTATGTTATATTCTTCATAAAGACATGTGTTAATATAAAAGATTGTTACCAATTATGAATTCCAATTATCAAGTAGAACACCTGTATAATTAGAACACTGTAAATTAAGAGTCTCATGAGCTCCTGGATCAATGTTTGAGTCTCTCTTAATTTAAATAAAACACCTTCCAAATTGTACATTTTGAGTAGCATATCAATTTATTTAACTTATTTCACAGATTTTACTGTACTATATGTGATTCCTATATCCCATCATGTGTAATATGATACTATGATGAAAGGCAAACAAAAAATTAAATGCATAAATATATCATGATTTCAGCAGGTTGTATTAAGTGTGAGGATGTCATGTTATACATGTACAATTATTTTTCTGTTTTTTTTCTTTCAGTATGGTGCCGATCAGAGAATGCAAGTTATACAATGACAGTGGTGTTCTCAACACAAGTTTCGACTTGGTAACCATAGCAACCTGAGTGACTGCTAAAGCAACGAGCGATGTCATTCAAAAGATTAAAACGGCGTTTATCGTGGACATTACGTCGTAAGAGTCAAACAGTTGATGATAGCTTATCGGAACTGGCTGAGCATATGACAATTGAAGAGAATGGACAGATGAAAGAAAATGGTAGGTGCCTTCAAATGTTTTTATTTTGAAACATCCAATATAACAGGTGGCTGGCCTAAGGTTCTACCTTGATATTGATCTAAAAAGGGGCACAAATTCTAGAAGTACCACTTGTCCATGTATATAATTTGGTCCATCATAATACATTTGCAAGTTGTTAATATCCTGTATTATATTGATGACTAGGGACTTTTTCGAAGTTTACTTTCATGTTGTTATATCACATATCACATTTTTGGCAAATTTTCACTATGTCATCAAATACAGCTTTCAAACTGTGCAGAGATGCGGCTCTGTATCTGATGTGTATCTGATGGTTAACAGATTGTTGCTACTTGACTCAAAATGAGGCTGACAGTAACTGTGGCTGATTGATTCAGTCATATGAATGTGGTATCTGCACTCTTTTGCAACATTGCCTATCCATATATATATGAATATACATGTATATCAATAAAGATATCAATATCCATTTGTAGATAAAAATCATATTCCTCATAAGTCACAGGTTATTCTCCATATACTTGTAATTATGTTTTGTTTGGAAAATGTATTTTATAGAAAATGTTTATATTAAATGTCAGTTTTATGATATTGATGATATCTATTTATAAAATAAGTCTTCCAGGCTTTCTTATAATAGACAATTACTGCTATTAATGTCTCTATTGACGTTGCTTCCTTTCTCCCTTACTGGTAAGCTAAAGTTTCCTTGATGAGGGAGAGGTCAAAAACCAGGTATTTCAGATTTGCCTCTCAAATTACTATACTGGTTAGGGAATTTTATCATTTTGAGAAAAGTCAGAAAATTGAAGTTGATTTGCGTTGTTTTTGAAAGGAATGCCTTTGAATAAAAAATTAAAATATAACACTGCTAAAAATACTTTGCACTGTAATTAGTTAAATATTTGATTGACAAACGGTTATTAGGAGGCCCCTGCAGGGGGGCCTCCTATAGATTTTATAGATATTATTATTAGGAGGCCCTCCTGAAAGGGCCTCCTATAGCTTTTGTAGCTTTTCTTTATTATTATTCTTATTCTTATTCTTCTTATTATTAGGAGGCCCCAACAGGGGGCCTCCTATTAATTTTATAGATATTCTTATTATTATTATTTATTCTTCCTAAACCTTTTTCTCCTACTTCCAACTACCTTTCAACTATCTACTATATGCACCTACTAGGGACCTGGGCTGAACTTGGCGGGAAAGGAATTTTTATCTAGCCCAAGGTCAAAGGTCAAAATCTAGGTCAAATCTAAGTTTTTTTCAAGTTTCTCAAATCCTGACACTACACTTCAATATTTTTGGCTGAATTTTTGCATACAGATAGATATTAGTATTCTATTAGTCTTAGCCTTTTGCCGTCTAGAGAAATTTTGCCTAGATTTTGAGATATTGAAGGTCAAAAAAGGTCAAAAAAGGTCTTTTTTCAACTTGCTTCAAATTGACCAAAGTTTTTTTTTAAACTCATCTACAAGTTCTCAGGATTCCAAACCTGACCTTACTTTTGACCTTTGACCTTTGGTTGACCTTCAGTGACCTCCGAAAGGTCAAAAAAGTTGATTTTTCAAATCGATTTTCTGGATTCAAATTTAGGTATATTTATTCACAAAAGACCTTCTGAGGTGTAAAAAAGTAAAATTTGCAAGGTCAAAGGTCAAGGTCATCAAACGAAATCACAAACTGTGTTTTCTAAGTTTCTCAAAATTGGAGACTACAAATCAATTTTTTTTACTGAAAGTCAGAATATATATTCCTCTAAAGGTTCTACACATATTAGCAATGAAATATTAGAACTCAAAAACTGAAAAAAGGTCAAATTTCGAAATTTTTCAAGGTCAAATTTCAACTTGCTCTAAATTGACCAAGCTTTTTTTAAAAAAGCATCTACAAGATCTCAGGAACTCAAATGTGACCTTATTTTTGACCTATGACCTTTAGTTGACCTTCAGTGACCTTCGAAAGGTCAAAAAAGTTGATTTTTCAAATTAATTTTCTGGATTCAAATTTAGGTTTATTCAATCAGAAAAGATATACTGATGTCTAAAAAAGTAAAATTTTCCAGGTCAAAGGTCAAGGTCATCAAACAATTTCACAAACTATGTTTTCTAAGTTTCTCAAAGTTTGTGACTACAAATCAATATTTTTGAACTAAAGTCAGGATATATATTCCTCAAAAGGTTTTACACATATTAACAATTGATTAGCTATTAAAATTCTGCACCAGTTTTGAGATATTGGACCTCAAAAACTGAAAAAGGTCTAATGTTGAAATTTTTCAAGGTCAAATTTCACATTGCTTCAAATTGACCAAACTTTTTTTTTTAAATCATCTACAAGATGCCTGGAGTTCATATATGACCTTGTTTTTAAGATTTGACCTTTGGCTGACCTTTAAATGTTCAAAAAAGCCTACGGGGCCTCCGTAAGATTGCTTGCAATCTTATACATCTAGTTATTCTATCAAAGCAGTTTTCTCCTACTTTCAACTAGCTTTCAACTTTCTACTATATGCTCCTACTAGATACCTGGTTTGATCTTGATGGGAAAATATTTCATATCTAGGTCAAGGTCAAAGGTCAAAATCTAGGTCAAATCTAAGTTTTTTTTCAAGTTTCTCAAGTTTGTCCTTATACTTCATTATTTCTTGCGATGAATTAAACTGAAACTACATTTAAGTATTCTCTACAAATTGTTCACTATATGTCAGCATTAAATTTTTACCGTTTTTGAGATATTTGACGTCAAAAAACGGTCCAAAAAGGTCATTTTTCAACTTGCTTCAATCTGACCAATTTTTTTTTTAAAAATCATCTACAAGTTCCCAGGAGTCCAAATCTGACCTCAGATTTGACCTTCGACCCCTAGTTTACCTTCAGTGAGCTTCGAAAGGTCAGAAAAGTTGATTTTTCAAATTGAGTTTTTGGATTCAAATTTAGGTCAGTCTAATTACAAAAAGCCTACTGAAGTCTAAAAAAGTAAAAATTTCAAGGTCAAAGGTCAAGGTCATCAAATTAGGTCACAAACTGTGCTATCTAAGTTTCTCATAGTTCAAGACTACAAATCAATATTTTTAATTGAAAGTCAAGATATACATTCCTCTAAGGGTTCTACACATATTAGCAATTGACTATTTATTAAAATTTTGTCCCAGTTTTGAGATATAAGAGCTCAAAAACTGAAAAAGGTCAATTTTTCAGAGTTTATAAGGTCAAATTTTAACTTGCTTCAACTTCACCCAATTTTTTTTTGAAAATCATCTGCAACTTCTCAGGAGTTCATATTTAACCACAGATTTGACATTTGACATTTAGTTGACCTTCAGTGACCTTCGAAAGGTCAGAGAAGTTGATTTTTCAAATCGAGTTTTTGGATTCAAATTTAGGGTTAGCCTAAGCATAAAAGACCTACTGAGCTCTAAAACAGTAATATTTTCAAGGTCAAGGGTCACGGTTATCAAATTAGGTCAAAGGTCAAAATCTAGGTCAAATCTAATTTTTTTAAAGTTTCTCAACTTTGTCCTTATACTTCATTATTTCTTGCGATGAATTAAACTGAAACTACATTTTACTATTTTCTACAAATTGTTCACTAGATGTCAGCATTAAATTTTTACCGTTTTTGAGATATTTGACGTCAAAAAACGGTCGAAAAATGTCATTTTTCAACTTGCTTCAATCTGACCAATTTTTTTTTAAAATCATCTAAAAGTTCCCATGAGTCCAAAGCTGACCTCACATTTGATATTTGTCCTTTAGTTGACCTTCAAATTGTCAAAAATGCCTAAGAGGGCCTCCGTGAGATTGCTTGCAATCTTCAAAAGTCTAGTTATTCTTTATTCTTCCTAAACCCTTTTCTCCTACTTCCAACTACCTTTCAACTAGCTACTACATAGTCCTGCTAGGGACCTTGGCTGAACTTGGGGGGAAAGGAATTTTTATCTAGGTCAAGGTCAAAGGTCAAAATCTAGGTCAAATCTAAGTTTTTTTCAAGTTTCTCAAATCCTGACACTACACTTCAATATTTTTGGCTGAATTTTTGCATACAGATAGATATTAGTATTCTATTAGTCTTAGCCTTTTGCCGTCTAAAGAAATTTTGCCTAGATTTTGAGATATTGAAGGTCAAAAAAGGTCAAAAAAGGTCTTTTTTCAACTTGCTTCAAATTGACCAAATTTTTTTTTTAAACTCATCTACAAGTTCTCAGGATTCCAAATCTGACCTTACTTTTGACCTTTGACCTTTGGTTGACCTTCAGTGACCTCCGAAAGTCAAAAAAGTTGATTTTTCAAATCGATTTTCTGGATTCAAATTTAGGTATATTTATTCACAAAAGACCTTCTGAGGTCTAAAAAAGTAAAATTTGCAAGATCAAAGGTCAAGGTCATCAAACGAAATCACAAACTGTGTTTTCTAAGTTTCTCAAAATTGGAGACTACAAATCAATTTTTTTTACTGAAAGTCAGAATATATATTCCTCTAAAGGTTCTACACATATTAGCAATTGACTATTTATTAAAACTTTGCTCCAGTTTTGAGATATTAGAACTCAAAAACTGAAAAAAGGTCAAATTTCGAAATTTTTCACTGTCAAATTTCAACTTGCTCTAAATTGACCACATTTTTTTGAAAAAAAGAATCTACAAGATCTCAGGAACTCAAATCTGACCTTAGTTTTGACCTATGACCTTTGGTTGACCTTCAGTGACCTTCGAAAGGTAAAAAAAGTTGATTTTTCAAATTGATTTTCTGGATTCAAATTTAGGTTTATTCAATCAGAAAAGATATACTAAGGTCTAAAAAGTAAAATTTTCAAGGTCAAAGGTCAAGGTCATCAAACAAGATCACAAACTGTGTTTTCTAAGTTTCTCAAAGTTTGTGACTACAAATCAATATTTTTTAATTAAAGTCAGGATATATATTCCTCTAAAGGTTTTACACATATTAACAATTGATTATCTATTAAGATTCTGCACCAGTTTTAAGATATTGGACCT